GGCCACTAGCCACTAGCCACTAGACACTACCCAAAAACCCCTTAAGCACGACAGTGCTCTAATTAAGTACATATTAGCAACTACGAATTAATTTTATTACAAAAAAGGAATTACAAGATGGCGAACAACATTATTATTTATTGGACACAAAATCTATCTGTTTTAAAGTAATGTAACTATGTTTACAGGAGACATTTCTACCGAAAATCACCTGAGATGCGTACTCTGTACAACATGTACACCAAAGTTCTGGAGAAGGCCCGAGAGAAGCCGGAAGTGAAGCCTAAGGCAGAGCCCTACGTAGACGTCAGCTCCATTTCCCTCTAAATAGTTGTGCTTGCGTGCTTCATATCAATTCTTATATCAAACATAATCTGTGTCTATGAAGTTAGTATTGACAATTACATTTCTCGATGTTTAGAAGAAACTATGTGATTAATACATGACTATAAACTTTTTAAATTATTGGTGTTTAGATGTAAGAACATAATTCACTACTTTATTGTATTATGTCATCTCAACTTCAGAGATCGGCTCCTTTACTCATTTATTAATATTTTTATGTTCCTTCTTTCCACAATCTTCTACCGACTATTTTTAAGATGTGTCGGAATTTATGTTGGGATTGTACTCGTATGTATCTACTTATTGTTTGAACGTTTCCTATTATAGTTAAGTTGGCAGTTTGTTGATGCGACAAGAAATTTCAATGATATTTTAAGTTGCGCATAAAGTTGTCACATTAAGATTGGGGAGGGGGAGGGGGGGTAAAGCGGGTTGTCATCGCTATCTCCATCCCAGGAAGGGTCGGTACGAGACCTAACTAAGAGCTTATATATTTTATATATGTTTCTTTTAATTATTGAAGTATTTGTTTCATTTCATTTTAACAATAGTTCAACTGACAACTGCAAAATAGGATTTTAAAAACGTATAAAATGATGCGTTTTTAAAATCCTACCTAACATTTATTATTAATTTATCTTTATTATGTCTTTATCTTTATCATTAATAATTGATAAAAGCTCAGTAGAAATGGGATGTGACTTTTGATAAACTTTTTTAAATCCGACCATTACGTACTAATGTATTATTTACCTATGTACATACATAAGTTACAAAGCCACACTCTGTTGGCTCTATTTTTATTGGACATATGTTTCTAATAAACTTATTATATACTTTACCTAATGAGGTCTTTAAGCAACCTAGTGTAGTTTCTTTCGATACATTTACTATATGTACTGATTATTATTATTATTATACGTATCAATAAATGTGTCGGTACTATATCAGCCTTTGTAGGCTTTAGATGTAAGCAAATTATATCAAGTATTGGAAATACATCGACATCTTTAGAATTTGATGTCACCTAGTTATGTTGGGTATGCAAGGGACGGGGCTTGGCTCTGCACTATACTGTGGTATGAAAAAACATTTAAATTCGATGATTATATACGATTTGTAACGAATTTAGATTTATCGTGTAAGGCGGTGCAGAGCTTGAAAGGTAAGTATAATTAAAATTCCTTTTGACGTAGATCGTACGTATAAACATACCGTAATTTGGTTTTAAATGTGGACACTCATGTATTTAACGTAGCTGTGTGATGTAACGCAATGTGACCGTAGTCAAACAAAAGATTTTCCGATTCATTCGACGAATTCTACTATTGCAATATCTATGTATCAATAAACTATTTTATCTGAAATAAATGTGATTAGAAATGTGTGTGGTTGTTTATTTTATATGTCCTTTTTAAACATTTCTTTCAAACATACCCCTATTTTTATTTGGAAAGGATTTGTAGTGACTTATATTCTAAAGTCCGCCAGCAGTATAAGACGAGATGAGCAGTCGCCCAGGGCGACACGGGGGCTAGTTTTCGTAAGGGTTTCTAGTGCAGTTTAAGGGCGCCATAAAAAGTTCGCACAGGGCAAAGCGGCGCCTGCGCAAAGCGAAGAAGGCATAGGATGTCGCCTACAGCTTTATGCTCCTACGATATGTAGTCATCAAAATATTGAGACTAAAATTAAATACAGAAATAATGATTTACATAGGAATAGGAAATCACGATATAGAACTATTCTGTTCAAGGAAAAAACCACTAAAATCAGGACTCCGACATGCACGCTCATCTGACTACGCGGAATTACTTCCACTTCACGCCTGTCTTCTGTGTGGTCGTGGTATTGCACCGGGCGATCTGGCATCTGCTATAGATACCACTGCTAATAGTAAGTATGATATATAAAGTGGTAAAAACAGTGGCTTGCAATGCCATCTTCCGCAATTGTGTTTAATTTTCATACAGCGTTCTCTCATTATGCAATCGTAATTATTTACTCTTATTCTTTGTATTGGTTCTGTACGACATTATTGATTTGAAAAAACATTTTATTTTTTATTTTATCCATAAGTTACGTTAGGTTTGAACGAAACGATGCGGTATAAAATCATCAGACAGCCAGTTTCTTGTTACATTTCTTTGTACACACAGTAATATCCTTATTACGTGAGTAAATAAGTATGATAAAAACCAAAATCCATGTTTATTTTGTCATGAGGGAAATACTTCCGAAACTTACGAAATTTGAATTGGTTGAGTTAACAAATGGTATAACATTTTCGTTACAATAAACACAAGATGATTCATATTTTCAAATGTTATTACTAGACCCCCTACTTCTTTTCCGCGATAGAAATATCTCCCACTTTCGAAAACATCACTCTGATGTACTTTTAAATATCACTTTTTTCATGGAATAACATTAAAAACCACACAAAAAGCGTAAAATAAAGGCGCGAAGTAAACTGAAAAGCTATGTACGTATGTCACGATTACCCTGACTTGATATGTCATTTGTTTATTTCATAACATTGTCGGCTGCCAAAAGAATCTTGTAGGACTATATTGGCATAAACGTCACATCTCTAACTGACAGCTGTCAATGTCATTAGATGTATTGGATATTGCGCGCGATAATGGCGGGATCTCGAGTTCAGTGTTTAAATTAATATCGCTAGTTACAAATATATTAATTGTCCAAAAATAATATATTGTAAATCTGCAGTCTCCCTTCTGCGATCGCGCGTAGCAAAAATATGTATACAATACGCTTACCACCCTGCTTAGTGTTCGCACCATACCAGTCGCATGCCAGTCCAGTTATTGAGAGCTACTGTACTGGCTAAGTGTGAACCAGGCAAAAGAGATAAATCTAAAAATATTTGGGTGGAGACAGATTCGATCAATAAATCAAAAGGCCCACCATTGCGCAGGACAGGTGAAGCTGGGTAGAATATGCCGCATTGCGGATAAATCTGGTATTGATATCTGCAATAATAGACGTCTAGTGTATTAACGGAGAGTTCATTTTAAATAGACAACGATCTTGCGAAACCATGGCGCATGCTCAGGTCCTGCGGCGTTTATAGTCGCGCCCGCCCCATTGCAGAGCTTTCAACCGCGCAGAGGAGCGAGCTTGTGCCGCGCTGTTGGCTTGAGCTTTCCAGTTTTTTTGGCAATCGTTTGTTGCAAATCTTGGACTGCATGATGGAGAATTTCGACTCGGAGCATCCGGATGATTCAAAAGATGATATAAAAGGTAAGCGAAGACGCAAAAAACAACGTCGTTATCTTGGCCGCGTTTCGTTAAAGTGCCGTGGCAAGTGAGCCTGGAAGACAAAAAAGCAAAATGTCAAGTGTTCTAAAATTTATAATATTTATAGTGTGATCATGATTTATATGTGGTGTTGGTTTGTGCTTTCGAAGAACTGCTGTGACTGCGTTTATTTAATTATATTACTAGTGAGGTGATGATTGTGTTGTGTTGTGCCGTATGCAATTGTTGGTGTTTCTTATAAAGTGACGAATAATCTTTAGACAAAGTGCTAGTGCGTGAAGTGATTTTAATTTTTGTGATATAAATGTGACTAACACAGCTATTTAACATGTTGTTTTTTTAACCTTAGAAAGTTTTGTACATAGAATTAAATAAAAAAAAGCATGTTTTCTGTCCTATGAAAAATATATAAATATAGAAGTAATGATGATTATTTGTTTAATTACTGATAATTGAATATGTTTGTAAAGGAGCAAAAACACGGCGTCGCAAGTGTTTTTCTCGCGTTGGCGGCTTTAGGGCGTTGGCGGTCTTAGGGCGTTGGCGGCTGCGCAGTATACACCCTCCCCTCTCCCCCTTCCCCAAAACATCCCGCCACACCCCGCTACACCTAACATTGTGTTCTGCGCAGCGACGTGGGCGATGTTTCGAGCCGCCATGACACCCGAGGACCCGAGGTGGACTGAAACATCTCGCTCGCCGACACGAGTCAAACGATCCCTGCCACTGAGTGCAGTTCACTGTAACCTTACTTCAATGTATTTACTGATTACTATACAGGGTAATTCTTAACTGACGATATCAACGGTTTTGTGGAGTTAGAGGACGTCAATAGCTATCTTTTAAACGCAAAGTATGTTGCCCGATTTTCAATAGTTTTAAAGTAATTTAATTTTTTGCAATAAAATCGGAGAAACCAGATTTCCTACTTAAATTTGTCCGTATGTCCAAAGTAATGTGTTTACAGTGGTCTTTTTTATCTTTCACAAGAGTAATAATTAGGCTTTCGTGCCGTTATCCTTTTTTTAGAATAACTCACACCAGAACTATATAAAAAAAATGAAAATTTGCTTAAAAGAAAATTTCTTTCTTTAATTTTAAAAAGCTGTAACTATTTTTGACCGACTTCTCAAAAGAAGGAGGTACTCAATTCGTCTGTATGTTTTTTTTTATTTTTTTTATGTGTGTTACGGTATAACTCCGCCGCTAAACCGATTTTGATATTTCTTTTTTTTTCGAAAGATAGTGCTTATAGATGGGTTCCACTTTTAAGTTTGATTTTAGGAGTCAAAGACTACGATGTAGTTAAATAGTTTAGCTCAAAATCGCGCGAAGAAATTTGGGATCTTTTTGCTTTCTTTGCTTACGTAGCCTAAACTATAAGACTTACATAAATATGATATATGGAAGAATTGTAGCCCTTTAAATTTGCTAAATTAAAGTCCGCGATGGCATAAATCTATCTCTTAAGGTTGTCGCACAATAACCGTTTGTTTCGCGAAAATCGTCAAATAAATGCAATCTACTACATTTAAAACACTTTTAGTCTTATTTGGCATGAGTCCTTATAGAATAAGTAAAATGTTTAGTAAAAAAACAATACGTCGGTATTGTTTTTGTTGTTTGGAAGTAGGTTTAGTTTTTTTGTTAAAAGGTCTTGTAATATATGAAATGCTGCGCGTATAGTTTCAACTGTATTGTGTATCCAGTGCTTATATTTCCTTTTCTTTTTTCAAGTTTTTGCATAAAATTTCCTATGTCTACCCCTCAAAGTGTCGGCTGCGCTTGCGCTTGCGTTTGCGCCTGCGCTTGCACTTGCGCCTGCTGGAATATGGAGCATTGCATTACAATTAAAAGCGAACCTATTTTTACTTTTTATTTTTACTTTTTCATATAAATTTACAACAACTGATTTATGTCAGAACATAAATATTTGCCAAGCTGATATCTTGATTGATTGTAGTTGTTTTGAGTGAATATTGCAAAGCTTGTTGGACGCTTATTTTGATAAATTTGTCTAATAGTGTGATAAGCTTTATGAAGTGGCTGAGCGTACAATATTTGTTGTTCTTATTAGTATTCTGGCGGAACTGCGAAAAGACGTGTATAACTAAAGGAGCTTTGCTATATGATGTTAGCGAATCAATAACGTTAACGAATGTATAAACTGTTAAAATATCGTTACAAATGCGCATACGCAAGAAGGCTGAGCCACTCGCCCTGCGCCCTGCGCCATCTGCCTTGCGCCCTGCGCCATCTGCCCTGCGCCCTGCACCCTGCTTCGCCCCACTGCGCTCGCCCCTTGACCGCATTGCCATTCTTCAACAAGTTAAATAGCGACATTCCATACTATACTTCGCAAACAGTGGTAGGCTCTAGGTAGATATAATTATGCTGGGTTTGTGGAGTTTCTAGTTATTTTGTGTAAGCTAGCGGATTCATTAGTATTAGGTTTTCATGAATTTGTCGAACCAAAAACTTTCCAACTCTAACGAATGGTACAACGTAGCTGGGAAAACGGTTTAATGAGTTTTACTGTAGGTAATGTGCCGTTTGGTTAAGGCTTTGGAAGGAAATATAGATACCTTCCCACTTTTAGTTATTTTTTGAAGGGGCGCGAGGGTGAGAGCATCGTCTGATGATGGTGGGGACTGGCAAGGGGAGGGTGAAACGCGCATGTTCATATCGTCCAGCCACCGCCTTTTTAAACGCGCTACCAACCTAACTTTGACGTTACCTTAGTAGAAAACGACGCAACGAGTTAAATTATGTTATGCCATACTCCTTTTTATTTGTTTTTTTTTTTTAAACAGGTTACTTATAAGTAATATAACTATGACCCTTTTTTTCTAAAATTGACTTAAAAAAAACGAAACAAAGAAGGAACATTTTCAATAAAAATATAAAAGTACTATACTTAATCTAGTTATTGCATTTTTAAAGCAATCAGCGGAACTTTTACATTTTAAGAAATGATTAAACTAATGATATTTAGTAATCAGTTTCTGGGTTATTTTCATATTATTGGCATCCTTTTTTACTAAATAAATGTGATAATTCCAACGCTCTCCCGACAAACATGTCACATTTGATCATAACTTTTAGCTGGTTAAACACTTTTGTAGGACATGTAACACCAATGATCGATGCACTTGCGGACAGGGCTGTAGGCTGGGGGCTGGGGGACGTGCTGGCCTTGTGTTTTCTCGCACCATCTCTTCTCGGCTCTTTCAATGTGATCGGGGCGTCACAGTTGTTGAACATAATAAAAAGGCGTCCTTGTTTAACTTGTAATCAATAAATCGAACATGGCGGCGATTGGTGCGCATGTACAGACACTTCCAGGCCCGAAGTCGCTGATGGCGGCCATTTTGTGCCATTCGACGCGACGACGCCCTCTCACCACTCACCGTCACGCAGCCAATCTACTGCGCAATTCGTAACCTTTGTTTTTATGTTGCCTTTGCCTTTGCCTTTGTGTTAGTTATTATATACGCAACAAAAGTCAATGGACTGTAACAATAGCCGTGAGTTAGTCTCTAATGTTGGTCGCGTCACGTTTCCTTATTTAAAAAACACATCCTTACAAATAAACGCGGTATAAAGTTAAATCCAGGATTAAACCGAGTATAAGCAAAATTCGTACAAATAAACCAAGAATAACTTATACCTAGTATAATGTGGATGTTTTTGTTCATACGAGTACAAACGCTATTTCGACCTGCACCCTAGTTTAAGCTCGGTATAACATTTTAAACACCACTAATTGTGTTTGTGTTAGCGTATTTAAATTAACTTTTTAAAAGTGATTAGAAAAAGTAAATGACTCAAAGAAAAGTGAAAATATTTAAAAGGGAAAACAGTTTCGATTAAAACACCGGATTTCTAAAGTGGTGTAATGTTTCTAGACCAATTATTTGAAAGTTCTATTACCATTACCATGTGGCCAACAGTGGACGTAGATTTTCTCTGCAATTATAAATACTGATAGCTCTCAAGTACTGAAATCTTAATGCGGTAAGAGTCAGTATGACATAACCTGCAAATTCTAAGGTAACCCTATTCCTTTTAGTATAATTAATAAATTGTATATTTAGGTACATATATCTTTTAATTCCTGTTTTCAGATGCAAGACGATGCTGCAGACAATCATGGTCTGGCTTAGCAGCCTATCTACAGCATGCCATACTGTGGCAAGGGAGATCAGTGGCGTAGCGAGGGGGAGGCAAAGGGGGCATCTTGCCCCGGGCGCAGCTCTAAGGGGGCGCCAATGCCAATTGGTCCATGAAAAAAAAATATAATTGATTTCTGGATAATATATTAAATTGTGTGACAATACAAATGTAATAAATGATTCTTCGGAAATAAAACGGAACAGTACGACTCTAAATCACCGTATCTTATCGTCTTCTTGTCAATTCGAAGGCGGATTTGCCAGCAGGTTAAGGAGGATAGAGCCTTGGCGAATAATTTAAGGGGGGCGGCCAAATTCTTTAACAGGATTTAAAAAATAAGTAAAAACCTATTCCGCATTCGCTGCTTGCGCAGGCGCTATTTTAAAGTCGTTAAAACACGGCATTGGCGGCTGTCAAGCGACAAACGCTTTAAAAGAATCCTGTTATATTCACACAATATTCAAAATGCAACACTGTTCTGTATGAAAAAGCGCCCCGTTTTAAAGGGCGACCAAATAATCAAATACATTGAAATACAATTATTTGATTTAAACTAACAAAATTGAATAAAATGTGCCGCGAACCAACAATGCAGAGCCACCAGTGCAGCGGTAGAGGAGGGAATGGGAAAAGTCGCCCACAATCTCGCACTTCAAAGTGAAGAAGCTCCTTGAATGTTCTGTGATCTATTTCTTAGGATAGAAAAAATTAATAATACACACCTTTACCTTGCAATTTATAATAACTAAAATTGTTTTGAATTAATACAGTTTGTTTTTTATACACTAATTGGCAGAAAATGGTATTAAACGTCAAGTGGAGTTTATCACAACACGAGAGTGCAAATTAAATGAAAATCGGTTAAGCCCTATCTGAGATTAGCGCCTACAAACACACAGACAAAGTGACAAAACTTAAACTCCTTTGTGAATTAGCTTAAGTTATATATGTAAATTAATTTGCGAGTATATTTTAGAAGTAAAAATCATATGGTTTTCGAATAGAGGAAGGGGGAGGGGCTAAAAAGGAATTGTGCCCCGGGCGCGAGGTTGCGCGAGGAAAGCTCGCTACGCCATTGAGGGAGATTTTAGAGAAAATATCTATATAATTTTAGGCAGTATGTGATTCAAGTAATAAGGAACATTAGGAACCTTTTCCAGGTGATGACAATTTTAATGTCAGTGCAGCCCACTGTTATACACACATAGAGGAACACATCATGTGGAGCTGCAGTGACAGTGACAGAAGATAACTTTTAGTTTAATTTTTGTAGTTTCAATAAATGAAAAATAATTTTAACACAACATTAAGTTTTATTTAGTTGTTTCCTAAGAAATTCTTCTTATAATTTCAAGTTCACATTGACTCGGGCATGCATTGCAGCCATTGCCTTCATTCTAAATTCATGTTCATTTTGTGTCACTTAGCGTCCAAAACTCAGAATTTGTGCTAATTCACTAAAAAAAAATATTTTTTCCTGTTTAAATGTAACAAAGAAAATAATAAACTTAAAAAAACTACAACTTCATTTTTGCTTACAATTATACAATTTCTTGCTGAAAATGTTGGAGTTCATTGGGCATTAAGGTGGGTGGCTCCTTCATGTAATGCAGCAATTTGTCTGATTGGTGGACGGTGTGACCCGAGTAGTAGGTATCACTTATAATTGGAGATTCAACTGCTGAGTGTTATCTATCATCATCACCTAAGAAGACACTCTTCATTCATTGTCTATGTGTAGAAACATTAACAGTGGTAGAGCTCGCTTTAACATCTTTGCATGAATGGGCCAGCTCGCCCCCCCCCCCCCTGTAATACCACGATGGTGTAATACCAGTTAATGAAGCGCACTATTTTGTTTATTTAAAAAAAAATCCTATTCGTCTAAAGTTATATAAACAAACTTTCTATAACGTGAAACGCGACATTGACAAATACCATAGACTATAGTGCCACAAGGCTGTTGTGGCACCTTTTTGACATTGACAGGATGGTGCCTCTGAGCATTTTGGGTTACCAGCAAGGTAATATAATATATCCGCATTTAAGGGAAATTCTTTCCTATTGAAAACGAAATCGCAAATTAGGAAAAATTAGGAAATGCCCCAGACTTCGGTTTATTGGTTAGAAAGCTTTATAGTTAAATAATCTTTGTAGCACTCTCTTGAGACAGTAAGGGAAGTAACTTAACATAATAGAAATAGTCTTACTTAGCGCTCATCTACAGAATAATAGAAATTTTAATTATTGTTGTTTAAAATCAACGCACAGTACAACTAGGTGGTATGGTTTGAACTGTGCGTTTTAAAATTATCAGATAATTTTCTTAATACGTAAGTAAATATGAAATTTATGTCAAGAAGGCCATACTTCCAGGTGCACAAAACACGTTACGATAAAGGGTCGGTCACTGCAATTTGATATAGGAAATAAAACGACTTTCAGCAAAATATTTTTAAGTCAATTAGTATGTAATAATTTTTATTTAATTAGAAATCTAAAATTATGCGTCGCCTTGAGAGTTAGGGAATTTCTTGATTAACAAATGGTAACAAATTCTGATTGCAACAGACACAAGATGATTCACATTTTGAAATGTAATTACTTGACCACCCCTACTTCTTCTCAGCGATAAAAATATCTCCCACTTAAAAAAAAACTCCCTTGCACTACTTTTAAACACTTTCATCACTTTTTTTCATGGAATAACATTAAAACTACACAAAATGCGTAGAGTCACTATTACCCTGACATTAAATGTCACTTCTCATTTTATAAAATTTGCGGATTGCCAAAAGAATCTTGTAGGACAGTACAATTTTTTTGACAATTCTCCATGGTTTCTCTTTATTTGCGACGTTGCCGTTTCATGCAGTTTGACAAAAGGCAAGAATAGTTAAACCGTCGTTTTTCCCGGTTTATTTGTCGCGATTTATTCTTAGCCTTATACCTGGTTTAGTTATACTCAATATAAGAGAGATGGAATAGCGATGTTATAACTCATTTCTATTTGTAAGGCTTGTATTAAAGATTCTTAATCGCAAAAAATATATCTAAATAATTAAGTTAGGTAATAAGTAAGGTAATTAAGCCAAGGTATGCAGTGATATTTCTACGTAGGGGTTTCCACATTTTTACCATAACAATTGACAATTGAAAGTATAGTAACAATTAAGTAATGAATCTACATTGACTGACACCGACTTCAAAGTAAAAATAATTGTACAATATAGACATAACAGTTACAATAAGGTAGGTTTACTATTTTCAAGGAATTATTTCGTTACTTTTTAGTGTACTGTTTTTTTGAGAATATTTTGTTTTTAGTGTATTTTGTTTGGAAGTCGGTTTTGTTTTTTTATTAAAAAGTTTATTTATTTCTCGATTTTTAGTGAATCTAAACATCGCAGTATGATAATCGCTAGCTTTCAAACAAAGTATGAGTTATCTAAAAAATTAAGTAAAGAACTAATACATCGTTGCGACTATTCACTCATAATTCTGTCCAGTCTCGCGCCGCTGTTGCCCGTGAGTTTTAATATTATGATAACTTCTAGAATCTTTGTCAGAATTACATACTGTAAAAGGCAATTATGATCTACATTTAATACTCTATCGTGAAAACATATTTAATTGGATAAGGATTCATACCAAATAAGAATAAAAGCGTTTTAAATGAAGTCGATTGCATTTATTTGACTGTTTTCGCGAAACAAACGGTTATTGTGCGACAACCTTAAGAGATAGATATATGCTATCGCTTACTTTAATGTAGCTAATTAAAAGAGCTACAATTCTTTCATACATCATTTTTTATGTAGGTCTTATAGTTTAGGCTACGTAAGCCAAGAAAGAAAACTTTGATACAAGTTGGTATTTTTTTCTGCGACTCGTAATTTGCTAATTATGATATCTCCTAAACTATTGATCGGAATTACCCAGTTCCAAGGGCATTTATAATCTACATTAAATTCTCTTGATGATAGACACATTTATTTGGATAAGGATTCATACCGAACACGAGTAATAGCGTTGAAAGTTGGGTGTAAATTTCGAGCGATATTTTTATGAAAAAAGTGGTTATTGTGCGACAACCTTAATAGATAGATATATGCTATCGCGGAATTTTATTTAGCAAATTTAAATTCTTCCATATATCTGTTTTATGTGTGTCTTATAGTTTAGGCTACGTAAGCAAAGAAAGCAAAAATGACCCGAAATTTCGTCGCGCGATTTTGAGCTAAACTATTTAACTACGTCGTCGTCTTTGACTCCAAAGATCAAACAAAAAAAATGGGACCCACCTGCAAGCATTACCTTTCGGATAAAAAATGAATTATCAAAATCGGTCCACTAGCGGCGGAGTTATGCCGTAACACACATAAAAAAAATAAAAAAAAACATACAGACGAATTGAGTACCTCCTTCTTTTGGGAAGTCGGTCAAAAAACTAGAATTAAAATACATTTGACTAAATTATGAACAAATAAGTACCTACTTAGCTATCTCAGAGATAGTTTGTAGTTAACGAGTTACATAACGTCTACTTACACTTACAGCGACATAAGTATCGATATAAAACACCTGCATCGAGTTACTGTACTTAGGTATAGTTGTATACTACGTGTACGTACTAATACGTAAGGTGCACATGCCATAAACCTAAAGATAGCCAAAAGCGTGTTTGTGTGTCTCAGGCGGAAGCTGGGCCGGGCCGCCGCTGCCTTCATCGCCGCCGCTGCCTTCATCGCCACTGGCGGGACCATCGTTTCCGAGGCCGAAACCGGGAGAGCCGGTAGGCCACGGCGCTATCAAACGATTCCCTCCCGCAGAACCGAAGAAAAGGGAGTCGCCAAGGCCACAAAATCAGCAGCCCCCTCAGTGGCAGCCCCTCCAGTGGCAGCCTCCCCTATGGCAGCCCCTTCAGAGGCAGCGCCCCCAGTGGCATGTCCCCGTGGAGCAGCTCCCCCTGGGGCAGCGCCCCCAGTGGCATCACCCCGTGGAGCAGCCCCCCCTGGGGCAGCGCCCTCAGTGGCATCTCCCCGTGGAGCAGGTCCCCCTGGGGCAGCCCTCACACAGGCCACCCCCCCCGGTACACCTCTTCCAGGGGCAGCCCCCCCACCCTCAGAGGCTGCACCGCCAGGGGCAGCGCCCCCAGCGGCACCGCCCCGCGGGGCTGCTCCCACAGTGGCAGCGCCCCCAGGGGCAGCGCCTCCAGGGGCAGCGCCCCCAGGGACAGCGCCCCCAGGGACAGCGCCCCCAGGGGCAGCGCCCCCAGTGGCAGCGCGCCCAGGGGCAGCGGCCCCAGGGGCAGCTTCACCCCAGAAGGCAGCAGCTCCTCCAGATACCGGAATGCTGCCAGATGCCATTTCCCAATGAGTGGCCTCACTACGCAGAGTTGCCGCAAGGCAGTTTGATGGGAAGGAGGCAAGGCTATTTCTATTGTTATTATTCACTAACTAGTAGTTTTTTGTTAGGTCCTACATGCACCCTGCAATGCACGTTTCAAAGCTTGTCAAGGCACCGCACAAGTTAAACTTCTTACAAGCGTCCGTAAATCTAGTCTGCAAAAAAAATAGCTATATGAAATTCAAAATTAATTTTCACCCCTTTTTTAATCCTAATTTTAAAATTTAAACTTAATTACTTACTTTTTAATGCAATTTTCAAGAAATTACAATAAGGGATGAGATAATACAAGCTTCGGTCCTCCACTGAAGACCTTTGAGATCATAGACACCTGAAGATGTGTTCTTCCAGACCATAGTCTACATCTAAGCCAAATTTCATTCAGATCCGTTCAGCCGTTTAGGCTACAAACTTCAACAAACATCCATCCATCTAAACTTTCGCATTTATAATATAAGTAAGATATAAAATCAACAAAATACAGTAGCACAGTTACTATGAAGTATTTGATTAAGCTTGTTCACTAAGTTATGCTCGTATGTATTGCAGTGGCTCGATCCCTGAGATAGATCGTGTGCTGGAGAAGCTGTGGGCAACGATGAGATACGATGTTGGCAAAATTCACGTGATTCTTACTGCAAAGTAAGTTTTATCATCTTACTTTTATCTGTTTGATTTCCTACATGTGTAACATGATAACGGCTGTTGGTGGAGATGGTATGGAATGCAATGGAGCTCTCGGTCTATACGAGTATATAGGTAATGTTCCGAGCTCCGAAATTGGAGATGTGCTTACAGAGACTGAGGTGAAGACAATATATGATGCAATTAAATATTTAGCATGAATGTGTTATATTTTAGAAAGTATGACATCGAGCGGGAGGCAGACGCCTATGCTGAGACAGACTTGTTGAGGCTGCTGCCCAACTTCGTAAAGCTCGTCCGGAGCATAAAGGGAAATCTTAACTTAAAGTTAAACATCCCTGAGTACGAGGTAAGTATCTATGAAGCTTGACGTCGCCCAGTCGTTCGGTAGATTATCTGGAACAAACGCGGATTGGGAACAAAAGATAGAAGAAAAATTAAAAATCGTTTTTCGTATTTGTAATCGAAATAACTGTATTATTTTCCCGATTACATACAGACACTATAATTTTATTAATATGTAAGTAGCAATAGTTAGAAAAACAATATTTTTAAAACTAATCGATACATCAGGGCGGGAGTAATAAAAACGCATCATGATACTCCCAAGGATAGACAAAAAAAACATCATGATTTGACATTGAAATATGACATTAGAGACATTGTAAGTTCATTGTAGTATAGATATTATTATATTATATTATATAGGTAGTTAGTTGAAAAACTGTGTGTTGTGACGATGTTGTTTGTCATGTAAGGATGTCTCCGTGAAACGGCTAGAGTTCATCTCCGACGACACGGCGTACCTCGAGTTGATTGTCCAGTAAGAACCCCTCCTCGAGCGACAACGACGATGCATTCCACTTTATGTAAGTCGCTTCACGTTATAACTGCAGAAGGCGCCGCATGTTGGCTCGCGCAGAGCCTTCCGGAGGCACACTTGGACCGTGTACAGATTTTAAATCCAAAGTTTGATGATACTATTCATTTTAAAGGATCGATTGGGGATTCGAATCCAGTTTCCTCTAAGAAATACACACTTTTAGTTGGCCGTTGCGTCGCCTCGCCCTTTTAGTAACATATTCTGCACATCCGCTATCGACAGGCACAAATAATTCTACGTAATATGTACTTTTGCTTTAGAATATTAATAGTCAAATAAATATGTATGATCATTTTTAATTTCAGGAAAACAAACATCACGCTTGCAGCCGCGCGCTTCTTCTGCTTTGCTGTCGCCGAAATATTGGCCGTGAAACTCAAGTTCCCCAAATAAATAGACATACACTCAATGTATAACGCTTAATGAATGTTTGCTTTAAATGTACTCCATTACATAGTAAAATAAGTTAGACTTAAGAGTACGATTTATTATAAATTGATAGGCATTTGAATGCCATTTAAACAATTTTAACAATTAAATATGTCTCACTGTTCTTGAAATAGACATGTAAATGGAATTCGATGATGCGACACGAAAGTGTGTATGACCAGGTCCGGAGCTAGGCGTCGCGTCGTATTTAAAGATTACGAATCGAATATATCGTAACATGAGTTATAGAAGGCGTAAACGCGGGTGGTGATATTTACGAGTATATTGTATTCGTACTTTAATGTTAAAGTTGTTTACGGTTTAGATAAGCTGGTCTACTGAATGCGGACCTGTTCAACGAGATTAAACTACATGGTAGAGAGTAGAGACTTTATTGTTAATGATGACTATATGAAATTTCTAGATGTAACGTCACTATGATGTATTATATGAAATTATTTATGTAACATAAAGATTTCTTAAACAAGGTGATAAGTACAATAACCCATGTATGCCAAATGCGGCTAAATAACTTAGTTTGAATAACTATGTTACTAATTAATTGACTACAAATCGTCAATTAAACAAATCAAGTATTGTATTGCAATGGCTTGGAGGTTCTCTTTATGTACATAGTATATTATGAGAGTAATTTGGAAATTAGAATCTGGCGATTGAACTAAGTTTTCAGTTCGAAACTGTAAAGAAAAAAGAAATAAAACAAGCCTTCATTAGTTATTAAAGATACAAAATGAACGATGTATTTAAAGAGAAGCTGTTAAAAGCCACTCGACTTTATTTGCGCAGATTCTGCCGTCTTTGTTTCGTTATGATATTTCGCGCTCCGCTTTATTTAGGTCCGCTTTAACGGCAACGTATTTTGTGATTGACTACCTTTTGCTCAAATCTTCGTCCTCGTGCAATTTAAAAGTAACTATTCAGATTTGAAACGTATTTTACTCAGTGATAATTGAACTTACTAACGACAAAAGGTTTTGGAAATAGATATAGTAATTTTTGAGTTTATTAGTTATACAAAATTACATATATTAAAAAAAAATCTTTATAAAATTATTCTTTATTGTATGATCATAATGTTGTATTGTTATATATCTTGTATAAAAGATTAGATATATACTTTTTGATGTTTATACATGTTTTAACTTTGATGTGATAAACATTCGGTATGAAGTGCGTTAACGCACGCATACGCTGACTGGTGGAAGCGACGCAGGTCGTGTCGTGCTCCTCTGCTGTTGCGTCCTCTGCAGCCACCCGTTACCGAGCACTTAGTGCGCTCACTTACAACGACCCCCAAATTATATTTACTACAAACTATTTCAATATTCCTATCTTTGAGGCTATAAATATCTTAAAATGTTATACATGTTTTGTAACGAGTTATATATTCGATGCGTATTAATTTATTGTACCTACAGATATCTTCTCTACTTTCTAAACAACATAGTTGTGTACAAGCTTTAATAATTTATTTAATGCATTTATTATATTTATTTATTAATAAAGTTTGCTCAATTTAAGTTATCATAACTGTTTGCGAACTATAAAACATTAGGAATACGATTCAAAATTCGTTATAATATGAAGATATCTGTGCAACATCTCGCATGTGTTGCATTTTAATTAACATATGTTACTGTAAAACTCCGAACGTCAATAAATTCTAACATTTACCAACTATTTCTGGAGAAATTCTGAAAAAATGAATACAGCTTTTACTGTTTCGCACAATTTCCTTCAAGAATATTTCGCACAATTGATCACAAATAGTTGGTAAATCTTGGTTTTTAAAGTAGTTTAGTTTTGACAATACATGCGTGCTATAGTAATCAAGTATATGAAAGTCTATTGATAGAGTGTACTCCATTGAGGTGTTTGACGGCTACCACGGCTACGATTGTCGTAGTAACACCCACTGTCGCACCTGAACTCTGTCAAGTGGTGACTTGCTGTGTTCACATCGACTTGTGAGTGGATCAGTACAATGTAACTATTAGTGGACTATATTACTCGTAGTAGTTTATTATATTGTAATAAGTATGATGTATCTCCTTTGGCCGAGGGCAATCCGGTATTGTAACTTCGCTGCCCTTAGGGTAACATTTTCCATTAGGCAGTAGACAACTACAAAGTGTAACAAGTAATCATAAGTAAATGTGGCCAAACGAGTTTATAATAGGAGCTGATTGAAAAAACGTATGCTAGAAAGATATATGATATGGAAGGACTGATTTGGAAACATTCATTTATGTCATTGTAAAGTTATCTCAAGTTAAATTACTCGTAGCTTTAAATCTAACGTACGGGGGATGTTATCCTCGTCTTCATTCGTTTGTACTATTGTACGTGACTGTTTGGAATTAAGAGTAGGCAGGTTTAACGACATGGTATATCAAAATTCCGAATTAAGGTTTTGAATTTTAACTGAATGTTAAAATTTTGGTCCAGGATTAGTTAGGTCTGGTAAATTGAAGGGTATTTTCGAACGTTATTTTAGAGAAGTGACAACATCTGGAATGGTAATGGCATAATCTAGTATTTTATGTGATCTTGTTCGTAGCGATTTGTCTGTCTGTGTATTCGATGTGCTGCTCTATTTACTTCAATAAATTATTGTCAAAAAATACTCTTTTATTTCATCGTCAACCTGAGCTATTTTGAAACCACTTCACTTATAAATATGAGTAGAATTTACTTTACAATTCATGCAAGATAACACGAAATGTGGACGAAAGAGTATTACGGAGCCTATTTTTTTAACAATATATTTACGTATGTATTACACTTGAGGAGTGAGCAAATTGGTGATCTAAATCAACAAGCCAATAGCAGCAAAGAAGTAAAGTTGCCATGGTTACATAAATACTCAGCCAACAGCAAGGGCTTTCATTATCATTTAAGCATTTCAAGTTTTACGTGAACAGCTAGTTATAGTTTGTCTAAATAAGATAGGTTAGTTTGATGCATGACGCATATGAAGTATTGAATTACATTTTTATGAAGGATTGAAAATGCCGTACTTAATAGACAGGTATAGAAATGTCTATGTCATTGATGTCAGAAGCAAAATACTGAGTCCGAGAAAATAACAGAGAAGCTGTCATTCTCAGTTTTCGACATTATTGTATAAGATATTCACAATTTCTACGAGGAAGTGAATTAAACGATCATATTTAGAAGGGGCGCACACCTTTGATAGACACAACTATTCTGCGATTGTTGATTGTCGATTGTTTCACAGCCAATTCAACTGTTTAGTTGCACAACTAACATTCGAGTAGTGTGCGCACCTCCTTACAAGCTCATGGGAATCAAAGCGAGACTAAACAGTTGTGCGATAGTTTAGTTTCACAAGATGACAAAACAATCCAGTACCCAGCGGGTAATTTACAAAAAATATTAAATCAGCTCGATCGACTGAGGCATCTTTCATTAGACGTTGCTAATAAGGCTCAATACGAAATTTCGTTATTTCAAAAGTTGCTTGAGGAAATTTTAATATATCCCCGTCTTTGATAGATTCAAGCGTCAAACTTGAAATTAAGATAAAATGCATTTTATAAATAATTGCTGTGTACACACCGATGGCAACAACAAATACAGCGAGGAATGACGACAGTATAAGAATAATTTATGCAGATGGCGGCGGCCACGCCGGCGCCGGGGCCGAGGACACCTACGCAAGAAATCATATTATAAACCCGTTGGGAATTTTCCCCTCGTCGATTTACTAAAAACGGTAAACAAATCGCACCGTGCCAAATATTACAGTCTCCGCTTCAAATCAATATTATTATTTGTTATTTTAAATGAGTTATAATTTACCACAAATAATCTTTCCTCGGAATATACTAAAGACAACATACATTAATATCTGGCTTAGGAATAAAATGTTGTGTGGTTTTATTCAAAACAAAGAGATGGCTAAAAATAAAGAGAACGTTCTAGAATGTTCCGGACAAAGGTGACCTCAGCGCGCAGTCGCAGACTCGCAGATCGAAATAGGGCAATGGAATGGGGTAATTTAGAGGACGAGCCTGCGCAAAGGAGATGTAAGGACGCGAGCCGCCGCCCGGGATCGACGCCATTTCTTCTGCGGACCTTCTCCAGAGCGCACGTATTGCACTGTCACTTGTGGTATTGGTGCTTGGTGGTATCTGCTTTGGTGGTGCCCATCGGATCTTTTGCGGCCTGTTGGCCTCCTGGAATCTACAGGTAAGTGAATCTTATTATTTAGTTTGATTTTTTGTTTCTTACCATTTCATATCCTTATCATTCAGTTCTTTCAAATAGGCTAGTAAATCGTTTTTTATTGTTGAATTCTAATGTTATTTAAATATTACTTTACGTTTTTTGATATTCTTTTGTCGTGCATAGAATTTCGTAAAGTCCTAAATCATTGTTCTTAAAATGTATAACAAATCGCGTTCGTTAAATATGGAGAGGCCACACCCTGAAAGTCCGGGCGGCAAAGGGGCTGAGAGGGCGCGGGGGTATGGTTATCGATTGAATGAGGGTGCAGCGACGTGGCGGGGGTTGCGCGATGGCTGCGCCGGGCCTGCGCGGGGGCGGGGCGGGGGCGAGGGCGGTATCTCGCCCGGGCACAGCTAGGGAAGGCAAACAGAGCCTGCGCGAAGTGCGTCACAGCGGTGAAGTGAAGACGCCATTTTATAATTATAATTATTTACTTTAAACAATTTGTGCTGCTGATAAAGAAGTACCTACTCAGTTACTAAGGTAATAAGACCGCTGGCAATATTCGCTACATCGTCACCATCATTAATAGCCTTAGACCGTCAACTATTCGGTACACAAATATTAAATAACTTGTAGTTTTGGAGGGTTTTGTGATATTATTTGCTTTTACTTATCATTTATTCGACACGCGATATCAGAACGCTAAATTGTGAATTAAATAGTCTGTCCCGGGGCTCGGCCATCTTGGATTCGGCGCAGGGGTGGGGTCGTGTAACTAGATCGATCGTGCCCGGCCGGGCTCGTGGTCGGGCGCGCATGCGCACATACAAAGCTATAGACAAAATGTACTGCTTCATGCATTTGCGTATCTACCAATACTGATGCGGCCTATGTCTGCGCTTGCGATTCTCGGAGAAGAAATTATTTATTTTGGAGAAAAGTAATTATTTTGGAATTTCAAAAAGCAATAGGCTGTAAGAAAAGCCAAGCAATAATTATCAAACGTGGAAACGACACAACAAACACAAATCTTCCGACTACCTACCGACTGCTTCGTTGTTCGCATTTGTCGTGAAGAAGTTAAGACCCGTATCCAGCTGAATGAGAAGTTTCCTTGTCTTTTTGGCTTAGGCCATTAAGGATAAAATATTAAAGTAAACTTTCGTTTGTCCTGAATCCAACGGTTTTAAATCGGACTTCAAATGTAACCAGATGCGTCTAAAATCCAGATCTGCCAGAACGAGGTGTCTTTCAAACCTGCATAGGATCCAGATCAATCTAGAACATAGATAAACCAGGATCCCAGATCTAGTCCGAACTCAGCTTTTTCTAGAACGATACATTCCCAGATTTAACACCCGGATCTGGAAAGAACTAAGATAACAGGCGATGTTCCGGACTTGTTGATTCCAGGATGATATGTGACCCCGTTCCAGGTCTACTCAAAATGGATAGGGCATTACAACCAGACATGCCAGTGAAGCAGAACTACACAGTACCGAGATGTGTTCTCACAATAATTCTGTGCTATCTAAAACTCACACTTGCTTAAAGCAAATTGTAACCTGAAATTAGATCGGTCTAGATTTGAGATGCGCCCTTTTTGGTTAATAAAGATCATATTCATTTAATTTTTTTTAAATATTCATTTTCCATAAAGATCAGTGGACCAAATCTACGATACGATAATTTGTTTCAGCCGCAAGATGGCCGCTAAAGATAAGTTGATGGAGTGTAGAGGCACGTTGAAAAAGTTCTTTAATAATGACATCTTCGGTGCCGTAACAACGACCAAAGTCTGGTGAGATATACAGTTTCACTCGTTATTATCTACCTAAGCACAGGATTGCTAAGAATTTTAATTTTAAAAATTAAAGATCTAAATTATGTTTACTGTAGTTGTCGAAAGATTTACAAAAAAAATATTTTGAACTGCTTTCTTTTAACTAAAACAAACTGGTAAGAGTGTGTGCTTGTGACAGGCGAGAATCTCAGCACTACCACCGATTGGGAATGACGATATCGCCATCGCCGCAGCTGACCCCGTTGCTGCACGTCCGCGACGAGGAGACCATGTACTTCTTGTATGCGCTCAGGCGCACCATCGCTATCTACAAGCACAACACCACCTTCGTCAAGGAGGCTAAAGAGTTGTTCAGATATGTGTGTAACGTAAGTATCTTTTATGTTGTACTATATGCGTTTTATTATACATGTAACAATCTCATTTACTTACAAATGGTGTATACATGCAATTTGCAGCAGGACCGGTCGCTGCCGCTGATGTCCGACGCGGCAGCGAACCGGGAGTTGAACAACGCATAATGCGAGCTTAAGCAGGCCGCGAGGTACCTGCTTTCAGTCAAAGATTTTGCCGGCTTCTTACATGCCGCCATTAAAGTAAATAATTGTTACGACGCTTATAAGTAAGTATTGCCTTAGTACTATGTGGAAACAGGCTTTTAATTAATTATTTGCTTCAAAGATGATAAAACTATTCAAACTTAATATCTGACATGGAAAATGTTTGTGTATTTACAGGAAATGCTATAAAATAATGCACCAAAAAACGTGGAATAACCGAGCGTGTCAACAACGCTACATCGACAGGATGTCTATGAACTTAATCATTTTCCAAAAGCTGACCAACATGATGCCGCTGTGTATGCAGAATTTCATTGATACCTTGAGCTTCAATGAAGCCAACGTAAGCCTTTGTGATTCATATTACTTTATTTTAAAAACTTTTTGCCCATCTGGAAATATGGGTCTCAAACTTAAGTCAGTTAATACAAGAAAGCTTATAGTAGCAGAAGTTTGTTTGCCAAATCTTTTCTTCTATGTTTATGCTTTTTTATAGATGAAGTGTTGAAGATGATAATTCTATTTTCCAGGGCATACCTCCCGAAGACTGCATAATGCTGGGCATGCCGCGGCTGCGCGAGATCCGGGAGCGCGCCCTCATGGCGGCCGGCACGTACCGCAACGCTCGCGACCAGCCGCAGGCCATCAACGACCTGCCGCGCTATTGCTACTGGGAGATCATGTGGGCCAACGCGTATGTACAACAGCCTACTTATCATTCTTACAAACCCTGTCAGCCTGCTATATACCAAGTCTGGTTCTACATCATGTTCTGTATCTATTGAACCCCTTAACAGAATATGTTCTACCAAATATCACCGGGGTCCTTTGAGATACGTAGTAATATACATGAATTTAACATACAAGTGTATATCAACCATCGAAAATATATTTCTGCCGTAAAATAGATATTTGGAGAAAGAAAGAAATGATAAAATGTTTGTATAAATACGACAGGTCAGCGCAGCAGTTCCTCGCCACCATGTCAGCTCCGAGGTCACGTCCGCTGCTGCCCTCTACGTACATCCGGAACGTGCCCTACTACGAGATACAAAAGTGTCAGCTGATGGTCACCAAGATCGAGCTGTTCAGCTTGTGGCTCATCGTCTGCTCCCTGTCCAGGGAGACCCAATCCCTCAAGTTTCTACTCCGGGTAAGATATGTTTGTTGCCTTACCAATTGAGCCACTCAATGTGTCAAGTATGGAATTAATATCAATTATGTAGTACATATATATTTAAGTAAATAGACTTTTTGTAAAGTTACTAAACATCGTTACTTTCATTGATTACAGTTGATAAGAGAAGAAATGTCTAAGATCAGAAATGAGACAAAAGTAAGGCGCCGCAGACATGAGGAAAATGGTCTCTCCACACTGTGCTTGCTGAAAGGGCACTGCTTCGCCTCTCTCAACTTGCCGGAGGAAGCTATCAAATGCTTCAAGAGGGTGGCCGGGTAAAGTATTCTAAGCTGTATTTTACATAGAAAACGATTATGAAACGTCGTCACTCTTCTTGTCTTGATAGCAGTCTGTGGTGGCCACCCTGGCTCTTAAATAAAACATAAGACAACTTTATTCTATTCACGGGTACGACCTTTTGGGCAGTGAAGAGTTGCGAAATCATAAAAATCATTTTCAGGGCAATATGAGCCCGAAAATCAACAATAACAAACTGCACTTGTTTTGAATCTTGCTGAAAATATTTCTAACTAGTCATTAAGTTCCGTTATTTATGAAATAGTTTCATTTCAGTCTCAAAACCAAGCGAAGCATGGACAAATACTTGATTTCGTACGCCATGATCGAGTCTGCTATGTGTCATTACAACATCGGCATGGTGGACGTCAGCCATCACTTGTTGAATGTTGCAAGGTGAGTTTGAAGATATTCACAGACATAGGCCATAGCATTACATACTTTCTAAGTAAACATACGTAATTAGATGTCTAAGAGTAGTTTAGGGCCACTTCTATTCCAAATGATTGTGATATAGTCTGAATATTTATTTGTTTAATTAATTCTTTAGTAAATGATTGAATGTCTTTGTTTCCAGGACGACGTACAGCAACGGGACCCCTGAGTTCCGCGCCCTCGGCCACGCCTACAGCAAGGCGATGGTCGTACGCCTAAACGAATCGGAATAAAAATGAAATCAAACAAGATTTCTCATCGGATTTGACGAATCGATACTTTCTTAAAAGGTGTTTATCTGATATCTTTTAAGATAGTTACGATATTATATCATACGTATGTAAAATACGTATAAACAAGGAAGTGACTTATCTAACGCATTATTTTATAGCATTCAAAGACTCGAGTGAAAAGGACACATTTGTAGTTATAAGTACGTGTCTATTGTGCTAAAAAACAAAAAAAACTATAAAATCGAAAAATACAAAAAAAGTATAAAATCAAAAAATACAAAAAAACGTATAAAATCGAAAATACAAAAAAAAGTAGTATAGTATAGGTAAGGTACAGGTCTGCAACAAATATATTTGAATGTATAAATATTCAGATATGTTTATTGCAAACTTTACATCCATAGATTAAAATAGATTATCAAAAAAACGAAAAAAACACAAAAAAAATTATGTTTGTATTATTTTTTTGCGCACTTAGTTAATAGGAGATAGGCACAAAACTTGAAAGATTTTAAACAAGTAATGGCAAACAAGGTTCCAAGATGACAACTATATGAAATTGACTTAAACATAAGTACTTAGATGTAAGTCGCTTGTCCGCTTGTTGTATTGTATTGTATTGTAAGAAATATTACATTAAGATCATTATAGCCATTAATGTTATATTATATATTATTATATGAAATATAATATTTAAGGTTATCCCAAATGTATGACGTGCTATCACAGCAAACTTAAGCACGAGCGTATTACACCAGCGCGAAATTAAAAAAAAATTAAAAAATGTATCCTAAGTTTCTTCAGCACACATCAGCGAACTTCACAGTGAAATATATTTCAAAAAATGTATTTTTCAATGTCCGGAATGTATATTTCATGGTATATTTGCTGTAATTTCAAAAAAAAGTATTATACCTCCCTCGAAGGTGGATCGAAACAAATTTAAAACGTCACCTAAGGTCAGCGGCCAGCGGCCTTTCATAATATACAAGACGGATGTGTGTTTCCGCGGCACCACCAACAGTAACAAAATATGTTTTTCTATTCTGATTCACATTTACGTCACATTTTGTAGGTACGAGTAAACAAAAACAGTGTTCTCGTAAATGACACCGTAATTACAATAATATGTATATGAAGCTCGCTGGTATCTGCAAATGTTATTAAACTTTATTACATTATTTTTTTTGTTATATGTAACATGTTTTTTTTCTTATAGGTTACGTAACATTTTATATATTTGTCAAATATATTTTTATTACATTAAGTTAGAAAAAAAATGTTTACACGTATTTAAATTTATTAATCTTTAATTCATAGATTATAATTAATATTATTTTACGATTATAATTTAGGAATTGTTTTTTTTACCGAAATTAGAAGAGGACTAGCCTCTTCCCCTTCCCACCATTTGCTTAGAAGGCAACGTTGGGAAGGTGAGGTGGATTTGTCGGAGAACAGGAGGGACAAATAGGGAAGGAAACGTCCTCATTCGGTACGTCCCTTTCCTTGTCCGTAAAAGGTAGGCTTCACGTCTGGAACTTGTTTCACTTGTCACAGATGTGTATGGGCGGCGGTCACTTCGCTATCTCAGCAAATTCAGGTGACCGCTTGCTCATATGCCGCCTTAAAATAAATTAATAGATTTATGTGCAAGGGCGGATCC